AGGAACAAAAGATACAAATACCAATGTCCATGTATTCTTTCACTGGGACTGGTTAGAAGAAGAACGAGAGATTTGTTTTTTAATTGTCATTGTTCTACTAAGGACCAATGTAAACACCTATGCGGAATGTCATGAATGAAGGAGAATTAAGCATATTAATCTGCTCTCCATTCTAACCATTAATGTGCACTATATCCTGTCTTCACTTCACTTTCATATTCATTACTTCTTTAATGAAAAAAAAAGATATTTTAATGGTCAAAAAAATCTAAATGATTAATAGCACATCAGTTAATGACATTTTAAAAGTATTTCAGGCTGGAAATGTGACACTACAATCATTAAAAATCAGATTCAATTTCCAAAGGTCCTAATCTTAAACTTTATATTGCTGGCAGAAACATAAAATGATATCCCGTAAGCTCGGATGCTTCTATATGATGGAAAAGCTCAGGAGTTCTGTGAGCACTGCCAGAAAATAATGTGTTCTCGGAAATTGTGGAAGTTGAGCAGGGAGATAACTGATGAGGCTATGACAGGGCAAATGAACAAACTGTTCAGCATAGAGGAATTCTCAGTCCAGAGAGATCTTTTTCTCTGAGACATGAATTGGGGTCCAAGAGTAGCATAATGGCTCCAAATGGATAAAAACAACAGTAAATCCCATTCTCATACATTATGTATGAGCTCTCGCTATTGGAGTTTACATCACCATCTGGTGTTTAATTATTCCCGCTTTACACCACACGGTGGTGTGAATCTAATGAAATGAATATGTACATTATAATAATTTGGGGTTTAGATTCTGGTTTACTAATTATTAGGTATCAGGCTTTCTTTGAGAGCTGAGAGTTGAAATCCATTCTATGAAATAACTATTTCTATAGATTCTCTCTGGCAAATACAATAATAGTTAATTGTTACATTCTCTACAGATACATTATTCCTATAAGACTGGTTGATTTTCTCTAACATCTGTACAACATAAATTAATTACACAGTGGTGTCAGAATTCCCATTCTAATACACTGTCAGTATTGTTAGAAAGAATCTCTTCTGTGATGTGTGTTTCTTTTTTTTGTTACTATATCTACTTTGGTATTGAAGGATTCTCCTACTTTTTCTCTCTCTTGTAGATGTGGGGGCTGTCACTGTATGCACAAAGTGTTACTATATATTCAAGTTATTGTTTCACATTGTCACCTGTAGGCCATTAGATTCCAATCTGTCATCAGTGTATCTGAAACCAACATGCTGTATTATTAAATTAGTTAGGATGATAGTTTCTACCTGACACTAAGCCCTGTTTGAGTGAGACTTCAGCAAGTGCAGTGTTCCCAATGCTCACTGAAGGGACACTGAAAACAGATTACATGTCCCATTAACAAATTGTACTGTCCACATTTTTTTCTACGAGTAAAAGTTTTTATAATGCAAGTTATGATACAAAATATAGAGAGCCAGTAGGATTTTCTGTACTAATTACAAAGAAAACTTGGAAGGCTTTAACAGTATGTTCAATAGTGATGCTTTTCTATCGGGAGATAGTGATTACCTGGTAAGATAATGCTGTTAAATGATACCCAGATGATCATTGCATCCAGCAGTGCAATCCCTCCTTACAGCTTGCAGATTTTAGCTTACTCTTTTACGCTTGCCTTGATATACTTGTAAGCTCAAGGGTTTGTGAGCTTGTGAGCTTGTGAGCAAATTCACAAGTTTGCTTATGATGTACAGAATGAAGGATGCTTGAAGGATGCAAATGCTTATATTTGGACAGATATTTGAGAAAGCAGGACAAAAGAGGATAGCAAGAGACTCTGAGATCCTCAAACAAAAGCATTTTGAAGTGTTTTTTCCCCCCCTTTCAGAAATTTCTCCATTAGTTTTACCTATTCTTTTCCTTCAGCTACACCTTTCAATAATCTTAAAAATTAAGAAAGAGGAAAAGTAGGATATACTCCTCAGGTGGTTTCAATGAAGGTTAAAATCTCAGATTTTTGTAACTTTGACAATGTAAAGCAGACAACCTTTCTTCCTTCCTTTCTTCTATGAAAACTTACTAGAACTTGACGCCAAACTAATGAACTACTCTTCTAACAGTACTCAGCTAATCAATACCTAGGCACAAGTAAGGATGCTGATAAGAAGAAGAGAGCACCCTTACGGATTGCAGTGTAATAGAAATTTCTGTAGACGCATCTGTCTCACATGTCCTTTTCTGAGGGGATAAATGAAAAATGCTTAAATTGTCTCTTTGTTTTGGTCACTACCCACTGCAACATCAATTCTATAGGATCCTTAGCACCTAATATAAGATGGTATAATCCTCATTCCTGGTTATATGAGGATCAAACAAATATCCTAGTATCAGAGAATGTCTTCTGAGCTAGAATTGAAACATAAACAGTAATAAATGTTAGTTGTCTTCAAAATATGTCCATAAAATGTCTACTTTAGTATCTACATCTGTGTTCAATAATATATTACTTGGCATTCAATCAACGCTTGCTATAACATGAAGAAAACATCTAGTTCCAGCAGAATATTTTTCACTCTTCTGACAGAAACAAAAAAGCCTCGTTAAACTTTGCATTCATTGTTATGTGCATTTTAATCAACAGCCTTTTCAAATTAGTATGGAGGTTTGAGTGACAATGAAGAACATATAGTTTACAGC